TATCTCAGTTTTCTTATCGATTTCATGCATTTGGTTATACGTAAGATAACTGTGCGGTATTTACATGCAAAGTAAATGTACATGCCGGATTTGTCTTCACCGTCCCGACAAATTTATAGATTTACAGCACGTGCATTTGTTACTGTTAACGAAAATATACTTTACGTTTCTAGGCACCTGGATTTACGTAACTTCAGGTAAGCTACGTAAGACTGCTCTTCTATTTTCATTGAGTTTCATTGAAACGATTGCTTGCTTTTCTGAATGTTGAGTATTTCTTATTCGGCTATTAGCCTTATTATGAGACTAAGGCTGTATGAGCGAAGTCTAAAAGAACAATACCTGTGCTTTATTTGAAGTGCAGATAATCCGACCATCATTCAGTACTGCTATGAACTGAAGATAGCAGTTTAATGGGGATGACATTCCTAGATAACGGCCATCCAGAGTAAACTTACGAATCTGATTTGAGTGATTATCGCGCATCAAAAGATTGTTGTCGTTGTCAACAGCTAGACTGGTGCAGTTGTATTTGCGACTATCTATGGGGAGCCTACCAAGAGTGATTAATGTAGTTAGAGAACTGTAGTCGGCCTTTGTCTCGGACACTTGTACATGTGATCTACCACCACCGTTTAACAGGCCATTGTGTGTAATTTCACAAGAAGGCCACTTGCAGTCTGGTACAGAAACGTTACATTTAAAATCACCATTACTTGTGAGCACTACCATATTTCCTGCGTGTCCACACACAATTATGTTAGAATCGTCATCAACATGAACCTTATTAGGAAAACTGGGAAGATCATTTCGATTTGGACGCCTACTTATGGTTTTCAGCAATTTACCAAAGGCTATGTCCACTATGCATATTCTATTATTATCGGAATCAGCTATGACTAAATTTGTTTCGTGAAGAAATGCTAGACCTTGTGGATTCTGTAACTGTCCTTCTCCACTGCCTTCACTACCATATGACAGTAACAAATCCCCATCCATGTTGAACACTTTTACGCAGTGTAAAGCACAATCAGCTACAGCAATCCTAGTGTTGGATTTATTTACTGCAATACCAGAGGGCCTTTTTGACCCAGTATTCATGGCAATCTGCAACTTCGTTAAGGTGGTCATTTCCTTAATGTGTTGTGGTTTGACATCCATCACTAGTGGACTGTTGGATACAGGATTTCCATGTACTTGAACCTCTGCTGTCAACTGACCAGGAAAACGAGGAGTAAAGGTTACTTCGATCTGGCCGTCAGCGGTCGCTCGTTTCTCTCCTACACCGATGTCATCTTTAGGGGTAAATCGTATTGCTACGTCATCAAGAGACGAGTCACAGGGCTCTCCTTGGTTGAGTACCACTTTCAATGTTGCTTTTTTCATGACCTCAAATTCATCAGGCTCAACTTTAAATGAGCACATATTTGGGTCTGCCTTTACAAATGTCTCTCTTACTAGTCCTAAGCCAGTATTCACTTGTTCATCAAGGCCTTCATTGGGTTTAAACTCAACCCCTATTCTGTATTTCGCAAATGGTCTGTAGGCGAACGTTTTCGAGTCTTCTTCGTCTGATCGGAGGTCAAAGATTTCGCTCGCTGTTCCATTTTGTATGAAGTATTTGATGTACTCTTGTGCTGCTGGGGCGTGACGTATTATGCGTAAATTCCTGTCGGCCTTCGCCACGTTCTTCTGAATTTGATTTAAAAGTTCTTGTTCGTGATCCATCAGTTTTTTCACCACATGTTTTGTTAGTTCCTTTACTTGCTTTTGCGCCTCGCTTGAGGTTTCTTTGATTTGGAGTGCAATTTTCTCTTGGCGTTGTCTTTCCTCTTGGTCATCAAACAGTTCCTGAGCTTCTCCAAAGTTTTTAGACAGAGAATCTTGTGCGAACTCCTGTAGAGATGTTATCTTGTGTTTCTTGTGACAATCTCTTATGCAAAGCAGACAGATAAGATCGTCACAGTCTTGGCAGTACAATTCAACGTCTTGATGAGCGTGTGTTTTGCAAGGACTTTCCTTATTCAGCATAGCCTTGATGTCTTCCTTCGTCATCTCAGACAACGCAACAACTTTGTGATCTTTAATGAATGTAGAATGACTGCTTAGACATTCGTCACACAACGAGCGATCACAGTCGAGACATTGCCACAATGCATGGCTATGGCTGGCAGAAACCGAGCAAACTTTCTGGTTCTCAACAAATGACAAGACTTGCAAGATTCTTGAGTGTATGGGACTGATCTCTAAGTCTTCMACGTCGTTGAGTTCTTTGAGCTCGGTTGATGAGTCACACTGAGGACACTTGAAGATGTTGACTTGACCATCAAGTTGTGCATTTGTCTTGATACAAGTCTTACAGAATGTATGAAAACATTGTAATAACTTGCCGGTTCAACCATTGTCTCTTTACACAGAGAACACTGGACTTGAAGTTTAAGATCCTCGAGAAATGACTCCATTTTGTGATTAAACTGTTGATTGTTTTTTAACGCTCAGATAAAAGCAACACAGTGAGCACTTTCTTGAAATATCACGTGACTTGGGACATTTTTCCGAGAACTAGTCACGGTGATGATTTTCAGATATTTTTCTGGTATGTTCTAGATGCTTTGTTTGCTCAAGGGCGCCAGGAAAACCATAGCAGTTTTTGAATGATATTACGATTGTATTTGTTATAGCTTTGAGTATCTTAGAAATTCACTTATCTGACTTCTTGTGTATATCTTGAGTGTATCCCGAATTCCCTTGGATAGATAGATAGATTCTTCGCGATTGGCTGGAAATTTTCTCTACTCCTAAAGGTCAAAAGCTGTACGAGTTTATTTGTACTGTCCGCTTATGCGCAGCCGCGCGATTTAATCTACGTCACTAATATCGTTAATATAGTTAAGGAATTTACTTTAAGTTCTCCCCTCCCCACCCCTCCCCTCCCCTCCCCATTGCGTATCTCAACTTTCATAACGCTTTTATTTTTTTGGTTATCCATATCGTAGCTGTGCGATATTTACATGCAAAGTAAACGTGCTTTTTTACATTTATTTTTACATGATTTCTATCGAAAAGAATCGAATATCAATTATTCATAGACTTCATAAGACGCATTTCACATGTATGTACATGTATTTCATAACAATGTTTGGCATAAAACAAAAGCTGATTGAGCAGAGTCTAAAAGAATAAAACACGTCCTTCAACAGTAGTGCAGATAATTTGACCATCATTTAGTACTGCTATGAACTGAGGCTTGCAGCTTAAAGGGGAAGTCGCTCCTACATAACGGCCATCTAGTGTAAACTTGTGAACTTGATTTGTTTGATAATCACACACCAGAAGATTTCTGTCATTGTCAATAGCCAGACCCTTATAATTCCTTCTTTCGCGACGATCTGTTTGAATCCTACCAATAGAGTTAATGTTGTTGGTGACTGATTGCCTTTGATCTCAATCACTTTTACCTCTTCTCTAGCACTGACGTAGAACAGTCCATTGTGTTTAATTGCGTATAAAGAACATAAGAAGGTACTTTGTACAGGAAATTGACAAATATGACAACCGTCTTTTGTGACCACTTGGACAATACCATTATCACATATAATGATGTTAGAATCGCCGTCAACATGTACTGCTCTAGGATACCCAGACTGACCATTAACAGTCATATAACTAAAGGTTTTCAGTGAGTTGCCAGAGGTTGTGTCAACAATGCATATTCTACGATTACCAGAATCAGCTATGACTAAATGCTTTTCATTGAGAAATGCTAGACCTTCTGGTCCGCACAACTGTCCTTCTCCACTGCCTTCACTACCATATGACAGTAGCAAATCCCCATCCATGTTGAACACTCTGACACAGTTTGCCGCACAGTCTGCTACAGCAATCTTAGTGTTGGATTTATTCACTGCAATACCAGAAAGGTTACTTGATCCTATATTCAAGGCAATTTGTAACTTCGAGTATATGGCCATTTCTTTGATGTGTTGTGGTTTGACATCCATCACTAGTGGACTGTTGGATACAGGATTTCCATGTACTTGAACCTCTGCTGTCAACTGACCAGCAACACGAGGAGTAAAGGTTACTTTTATATGACCAAAAGCAGTAACTTGTTTCTCTCCAACAGTGACGTTATCTTTTGGGATAAATCGTATTGTTACATCATCAAGAGACGAGTCACAGGGCTCTCCTTGGTTGAGTACCACTGCCAATATTGCGTTTTTCTTGGCCTCCAATTTATTTGGTTTAACTTGAAATACGCTCCTTTTCGGGTCTGCCTTTGCAAATGTCTCTCTTACTAGTCCTAAGCCAGTATCCACTCGATCAGAAAGTTTTTCGTTAGGTCTGAATTCCATCCCAGCGATGTGTTTTTCAAATGCGTTGTAGGTGAATGTTTTCGAGCATTCTGCTTGTGACTGAATGTCAACCATGTCGCTTACAGTTCCATTTTGAATGAGGTACCTGATGTATTCTTGTGCTGCCGGGGCGTGATGTATTATGCGTAAATTCCATTCAGCCTTCGTTGTCTTCTTCTGAATTCCATTCAAAAGTTTTTGCTCTTGATCAATTATAGCTTTGACCAAGTTTTTGGTTAGCTCTTTGACTTTTGCCTGAGCTTGTTTTCCATCGCGTTTAATGCCGAATGCAATTTGCTCTTGTTGCTTCTTTTTCTCTTCATCTTCTTTAAGACTCTCGATTTCTTCGAGGTTTTTGGACAGAGAGTCTTTCTTTGATGCCAAGAACTCATGCAGTGTAGTTATCTTGTGGTTTTTGTGATAATCCGTCAAGCAAATCAGACAAATAGGCTTGTCACAGTCTCGGCAGTACGATTTCATATCGTGATTAGAATGAATTTGGCAAGGTTTTTCTTTTTTCAGCATACCCTCGATGTCTTCCTTTGTCATCTCAGACAATGAAACAACTTTGTGATCTTTAGTGAATATAGAATGACTGCTTAGACATTCGTCACACAACGAGCGATCACAGTCGAGACATTGCCACAATGCATCACTATGGCTGCCAGAAACCGAGCAAACCTTCTGGTTCTCGACGAATGACAAGACTTGCACGATTCTTGAGTGTATAGGACTGATCTCTAAGTCTTCCGCGTCGTACATCACGCATCCCTAGTAGTGGATTTGTCTTCGGGGGAAAAACACGTGTCTGCAGTGCGGAATTTGTCAAAGTTCACCTTTAAGATGTACAGGAAGATTTACCAACTCATAAAGGATAACAAAATATCATATCCTTTTTATAGATATATTTCCAGATAGAAAGTTTAACACGCTGAAAAATATAGTTATGAAAAAAGATAAATTTAACACCGTAAAAAATAGGTGAAATAACTTACTGATGTTTCTGACGTTAATACTTCGTCGGAGTAAAGAAGGACGAAGGATTAACGTCCGAAACGTCAGTAAGTTATTTCACCTACTTTTTTACGGTGTTAAATTTATCTTTTTAAATAACTGTTTCTTTAGAAACACCGACGCAGCTCACACTAGTTTTTACCGCTAGCTCCCACCGAGCCGAAAATTTCCTATCTTTGCAAAAATTCTGTATTCCTGTATACAAAAATTCTGACTTCTCCCGATTATCTAGGTCTGTATTCAACACCATAAAAGATATCAAATCATTGAATTTTTGTCTAACGAGGCGATACCTGATTCTTCAAACCCTCTGAAATCTCCCTCACTGATATTGTAGAATTACTACTTACTAGTGAAACTTACTGATTTCTGGTGTCGCTGTGAAGCGTAGCGTTGAAATGCCTTCTTTTGCTTACCTCATATAATTCGAAGAATGTTCATTTGTAATCAGCATAGTTAACACAACAATGAAACACGTCAATTAAACACGTTAACGTTTATTTCTTGTGCCATTTGGCAACTGCCTTTTTACAATAAATTGGAAAATGTGAAAAATGATCATGAAGAACCTTGAACAAAGTTCTGTCAATGTACATACATGTATAATTTGTGAACGTRCTTTAACGTTATTATTACAATCTACTGAAAACTCTTTCTCTTGTCAATCCTTGACTARATTTGCAAACGACGCGTTACTATATCAAACTATTGCGTATCTGAATTTTACGTTAACTGAATTTTACGTTACCTGAATTTTACGTTACTCATTGCGCATCGGAGTTATCTCAACGTTTATACGCCATTTGGTTACACGTTACTTATTGCGTATCTCAACATTCTTAACTTTTCTAAATGTTTGATTGATTAACGATATTTACGTGGTTGAAATCTCGAGCATTTTGCTGTGATASTTGCCTTCGAAAACTGGATGTTCCTCAAAAGTTATAATTGCTCTTGAATAGAGTTTTCAGGCAACTATTTGCTTTTTGGAATATCCAGTTTCCGCGGCGGACAACTATCATAGCATAACGCCCTAGATTCAACTCACTCTATTGTTAAATTATAATTTTTACGTTTCCAGAGATCTGGCTTTTATGTAACGTTAACAAGGAAGATATATGGTTCAGACTGCCACGGATTTGGACGCAAAGGTACGTAACACTGCTCTTGCTGTCTATTTTCATTGAGTTCTTTCTAGTAATGCGAAGCTCAAAGGCAGTATTTCACATGTGTCTAATCGAATCCTATTTAACGTAAGATAAAAACTACAACTGAAGTAAGAATACGGCATTGGTTCCATGGCGTCGAATAAATTTGCCGAATTTAATGCCTCCTTATCGTAATCTACGTATATCGTTCTTTGCCATTACATGTGGTACTCTGACAAATTCATACATTATCACCCTAGAATATTCTGCATGAGGTCAACTCAGCACATGTGAAATACGACGTTCGAATCAACTGGCGAATTTTTTCCGAATGTTGAGTATCTCGTGTGTCTAGTTAAGCTCAAAACTGTCGGATATAAATGTTTCACATGTACATACATATATTTCATCTTAATGTTTGTCATAAAACATATCTTGTATGGGCCGAGTCTAAAAGAATAATACCCGCCCTKTGCCAGCAGTGCAGATTATCCGACCATCATTCAGTGCTGCTATGAACTGGAGGTTGCAGTTATAGTAATACGGAGCTGTACTTGCACCTACACAACGACCGTCGAGTGTAAACTTGCGAAGCATCAGATGATACGAACTATAGTTACCAGGACTAKRCATAGCATCACACACCAAAAAATTATCATCGTCAATAACGAGACACCTATATTCATGACGGTAACCGTCTTGGGGTAAGCCACAAAKAGTTKTAACTATAGTTGGTGAATGGTCATCTTTCATCTCAATTACGTGTACCACCCCTGATGATCTACCAMTGACATAGAACAGTCCATTGTGTTTAATTGCGCATAAAGGCCGACTGCAATTAGGTACAGTAAACTGACATATATGACAACCGTTCTTTGACAGCACTTGGATAATATTATTATCACATATAATGATGTTTAAATCATCGTCAACATGTACTGTACTGGGACAACCAGTCTGTCCATTAACAGTCTTATAAACAAAGGTTTTCAGTAAGTTGCCAGAGGTTGTGTCAACAATACATATTCTATGATTACCAGAATCAGCTATGACTAAMTCTGTTTCATTGAGAAATGCTAAACCAAGTGGATTCTGTAACTGTTCTCGTCCACTGCCTTTACTACCATATGACCGTACCAAATCCCCATCCATGTTGAACACTTTGACACAACAATCCTCCAAGGCTGCTACAGCAATCTTAGTGTTCGATTTATTTACTGCAATGCCAGAAAGCTGTGCCTTTGAGATATTATTTAAAGCAATTTTCAATTTCGAATGAATGGACKTCTCCTGTATGTATTGTGGTTTRACATCCATCACTAGTGGACTGKTGRATACAGGATTTCCATGTACTTCAACCTCWGCTGTCAACTGACCAGAAACACGTGGAGTAAAGGTTACTTCGATCTGACCGTTGTCTGCCAATCGTTTCTCTCCTACACTGACGTCATCTTCAGGGGTAAATTGTATTGTTACRTCATCAAGAGACGAGTCACARGGCTCTCCTTGGTTGAGTACCACTGTCAATGTTGCGTTTTTCGTTGCCTCAAATTCAGCAGGCTCAATTTTAAATGAGCAAATGTTTGGGTCTGCCTTTGGAGATGTTTCTCTTACTAGTCCTAAGCCAGTATTCACTTGTTCAAAAAGTATTTCATTGGGTTTGAATTCCATCCCAGCGATGTGTTTTTCAAATGCGTTGTARGTGAAYGTTTTCGAGCATTCTGYTTGTGAGTGAATGTCAACCATGTCGCTTAYAGTTCCATTTTGAATKAGGTACYTGATGTATTCTTGTGCTGCCGGGGCGTGATGTATTATGCGTAAATTCCAGTCAGCCTTCGTTGTCTTCTTCTGAATTCCGTTCAAAAGTTTTTGCTCTTGATCAATTATAGCTTTGAACAAGTTTTTGGTAAGTTCTTTGATTTTTGCCTGAGCTTGTTTTGCATCGCGTTTAATGCCGACTGCAATTTGTTCTTGTTGCTTCTTTTTCTCTTCATCTTCTTTAAGACTCTCGATTTCTTCGAGGTTTTTSGACAGAGAATCTTTCTTTGCAGCCAAGAACTCATGCATTGAAGTTATCTTGTGGTTTTTGTGATGATCCTTCAAGCAAATCAGACAGATAGGCATGTCGCAGTCTCGGCAGTACGATTCTATATCGTGATTGGAATGAATTTGGCAAGGACTTTCTTTCTTCAGCATACCCTCGATGTCTTCCTTTGTCATCTCAGACAATGCAACAACTTTGTGATCTTTAGTGAATATGGAATGACTGCTTAAGCATTCGTCACATAACGAGCGATCACAGTCGAGACATTGCCACAATGCATCACTATGGCTGGCAGAAACCGAGCAAACCTTCTGGTTCTCAACAAATGACAAGACTTGCACGATTCTTGAGTGTATGGGACTGATCTCTAAGTCTTCCACGTCGTTGAGTTCTTTGAGCTCGGTTGATGAGTCACACTGAGGACACTTGAAGATGTTGACTTGACCATCAAGTTGTGCATTTGTCTTGATACAAGTCTTACAGAATGTATGAAAACATTGTAATAACTTGGGTTCAAACATTGTCTCTTTACACAGAGAACACTGGACTTGAATTTTTAGATCCTCGAGAAATGACTCCATGTTCTGTTTTGATTCCACACTTTTGCTGTTCCAATATCCTTTGTGAACAATCCTACTCTGTCTCTGCTCAGAGAACTGGACTATAACAGCAAGAACCCAGAGAAGATTAGTTAAAGCGTATACAAAACTCTTCTGTCCCTTAGGACAAAATATCTATTACAATGAGAAATGCTAATGAATTCACTCTCACCTCCAGTTTGTTTAGTATTGGTTATGTACTTCTGGTATTGTTCTAGTGCAGATGAGTGAAACCATCTAGGGTAACCGAAACTGACGTGTCCTTAAATACTATTGGAGGAAACGGGGGTGGTAATGGCATTGGAGTGAGCTGGAGCATGTAATGCGATAGTGTATATCTTGCTGATTTCCGAAGCCTCCTTGCCTCCTTGGTATCGGAAGCCGAAGAAGGATATTGATGATGATAAATGTTCAAGTAAAAATTCCGTTTAGTCACGGCGTTGCTATGTGACTGGATTGTTAGTTTTCTCGAATGTTCTCCCAACGTCACTTGCGTAATAACTTCGTTGAATATTACGTCATATGTCTTTTACTCATATGTTTTGTTATTCTCTTCAACATGACTTATCGCCAGCAGAGGGAGATTTTGTATCTGCTAGAAAGGGGGCTGGAAAAACAAACTAGAAACTCGTGGATTAAACAATCCGACATTTATTCCTTGTAAAGCAACAATAGTAATTTCTGTTTACAATTTTAGTTATTTTCTTATTTGGTGGACTACATTTTTGTTCATCTGAAAGTGTGGTTCAAAAACCGTGACATGTTTTCTTGTCAAATATCTACAACTTTGCCTATAGATTACTGTATTTAGAATTTTTTTATTTGGATTTTTGTTTTGTTTTGCTTTGTTGTATTTTATCTTGATAACAAAACTGACTAAGCACAGAAAAGTACAAATTATCTTAAATATCTATAAAATATGTCTGTATGAAGAGAAGTGAATCTTTGAAAATTTCGATCTAAAATAATGCTTAGCATCATCTATTCGTGCTATCTTGCATGATTGCGTTACCTGCATTCATTGTTACTAACGTTACTTCTACAAAACCCTTACGTATTTGATTCTTATTATCATGACTAGTATCGATATGACTAGTATTATTTAAAGGACCAGGTGTACCCAAGAACCTTTGCGCGATTTTCGCACATACGAAAATTCACTTTGTCACAAACCGTTCTAAGCGAATCTCGTGATTGGTTTAGAAACAAAAGACAACCATAGATAGGTCTTCCAAACAAGAATATGAAACAAAACCTAACAATGGGGGTTCTGCATTAACCGAGCAATCAAAAAGCAGGTTTGGAAGCGTTCGTCATAATCGGTAAATTTGCCTTCTTTGATTTTGAACCAATTGGAAAAAGCGTTTCAACAAAAGATAATTTGTAAAAGAAAAGATCGCAAAAGTTCTTTGGATGCACGTGGGCCTTGAAGTTAATATGATCCTCTACCTCTCTAAAAGAAATATACCCGCTCTCCTGAAGTGCAAATAACGTGACCATCATTCAATACTACTACGTAATGATCGCCACCACCTATGTAATTTGTTTCTCCTACATAACGACGGCCATTTACTTCAAACTTTACAAGTGTTACTTTACTGCATACCATTAAAATGTTGTGCTTGTCCATAGCTAGACCCTTAAACAGCTTACAACACCTATCCACACCAATCTTAGCTATTGTAGATGGTGCTTGGTTATAATTGATTTTAATCACATGTATCCCCAGCTTATCTGAATCTTGAGTGACGTAGAATAGTCCATTATGTTTAATTGTGCAATAAGGCTTTCCTCTCACCTTGAATTGATATAGATAGTCACCGTCCTTTGTGAACACTTGGACGCGATGATTACCATAATCACACACAATGATGTTAGAATCATCATCAACATGTACTCCATGTGGGCGGTTGAACTGTCCATCCATGTTGCCTTGACAACCAAAGGTTCTAACAAGCATACCAGAGGTTGTGTCCACTATGCATATTTTATTATTACCAGAATCAGCTATGACTAAATCCTTTTCGTCGAGAAATTCTAAACCTTGTGGACTGTTTAACTGACTTCGTCCGCTACCTTCACTACCATATGACAGCAGCAAATCCCCCTCCATGTTGAACACTCTGACACAGTGTAAAGATCGATCTGCAACAGCAACTTTAGTATTCGCTTTATTCACCGCAATACCTGAAAGACCTTCAGACCCAGTATTCAAGGCGTTTGTCAGCTTTGGATGTACCGTCTTTTCTTGTATACATTGTGGTTTGACATTGATCACTAGTGGACTGTTTGATAGCGTATTTCCATGTACTTGAACCTCTGCTGTAAACTGACCAGGAACAAGTGGAGTTAAGTTCACTCCAATCTGGCCGTCAGCTGTCTCTTTTTTCTCCCCTACTTTGACGTCATCTTCACGGGTGATGTGTATTGTTACGTCATCCAGTGGTGGTTCACAAAGTTCCCCTTTATAAGTTCGAAACGTCATTGGCAACGTTTCTGTTTTCATGGACTCAAATGTTTTAGAGTGAACGAAACTCATCTTTGGATCAGCTTTCTTAAATTCTTGAGTGATCCCTAGGCCAGAATCTATTTCTTGACAAAGCTGTTTGTTAGGTCTGAATCTCATCCCACCAAGGTCCTTTTTATATGAGTTGTAGTTGAACATTTCCAAGCATTCTGCGTCTGCTCCGATATCAAATATGTCACTTGCTCCTTCACTTTGAATTAGGTGTGTAATGTACTCTTGTGCTGCTGGCGTGTGACGTATTATGCGTAAATTTCTGTCTGCCTTCGTTATGCCCCTCTGGATTTCATTTAAAAGTTCTTGCTCGTGATCAGTTAGTTTTTTTATCAGCTTCTTTGTCAGTTCCTTGACTTGGTCTTTAGCTTTTTCTGAGTCACGTTTGATGTCGAGTGCAATTTTTTCTTGGAATTGCTTTTCCTCCTCGTTAGCATGCAATTTTTCGATTTCTTCGAGATTTTTTGAGAGAGAATCTTTCTTGGCAGTGATGAACTCCTGTAGTGATGTTATCTTGTGGTCATTGTGATGGTGATCTTTCAAACACAGCAAACACACAAACTCGCTGCAATTTTGGCAGTGCAATACATTATCTTGATTAGTGTGTGTTTTGCAGGTTATTTTCTTTTTAAACATGAGCTCGACATTATCCTTCGTCATCTCAGACAAAGCAACAACTTTGTGATCTTTGATGAATGTAGAATGATTACCCAGACATTCATCACACAACGACCGATCACAGTCGAGACATTGCCACAATGCATCACTATGACTGGCAGAAACCGAGCAAACCTTCTGGTTCTCAACAAATGACAAGACTTGCAAGATTCTTGAGTGTATGGGGCTGATCTCTAAGTCTTCCACGTCGTTGAGTTCTTTGAGCTCGGTTGATGAGTCACACTGAGGACACTTTAAGATGTTGACTTGACCATCAAGTTGTGCATTTGTCTTGATACAAGTCTTACAGAATGTATGAAAACATTGTAATAACTTGGGTTCAAACATTGTCTCTTTACACAGAGAACACTGGACTTGAAGCTTTAGATCCTCGAGAAATAACTCCATTTTTCTTTGTTTGCCAAACGAAATATGTCGCGTGGAAGAAAACGACTCGAGCTTCCGAGAAATC